GTTTGGTTTGGTTTGGTTTGGTTTGGTTTGGTTTGGTTTGGTTTGGTATGAGACAGCAGTCTCACCCTGGAGCCCATATTGACCTCAGACTTCTGGCCTTCCTGTGTCAGCTTCTTGGGTATTAAGATTATAAGCATGAGCCACCACACCTCATGTGCTCTGAGACTGAAATTTTTAGATGGCTTCAGCCATGCGCAAGTCAGGAAAGCAAAGACCCAGCTTCACTAGCCCTTAACTAAGCTCTAGGCTAGCTTTCCTGAGACGATGGCAAACCATCAGAGCTAAGACAGGCTGTCTGGCTTCCCTCACCAATTTCTGACTCCACTCAGGCTGTCCCCTGACTGTCTCTTTACTTTACCACCCTTCTCTTATTCTCTAAATGCCCATCCTTCACTCATAATACTCTCTGGAAGCCTCTCTCTCTTTTCTTCATCTTATGAATTAGTTCATTGGAGAAGGAAATGCAGATGTCCCAGGAGGCCAGAGGTATACTTGTTTTCAAGAAAGGGAGGAGCAGCTCAGTGGTGGAGTTCTTGCCTAGCATGGGCCAGGTCCTAAATTTCATCCTCATCAGTGAGTAACAAGGAAAAGGAGGAAGAGAAGTCAGAGGGAAAAGGATGAGGCCCTGTAATGAGAAATACCTCACCCTTCTCTGGGATTTCCCACCCACTGTGTTACTGTGTCCCAATGTGTCCATAAAAGCTCTTGACCCTCCATGGGTCCTTGAAGGTAGATATTTGAGATTTCCTTAACATTCCTCTAGACCAGCTTTGAATAAATTTGCTTCAAAAAAATAAGGAGGAGGAAGAAGAAGAGGAGGAGGAGGAGGAAGAGGAGGAGGAGGACAAGGAGGACGAGGAGGAGGAAAAGGAGGAGGAGGAAATAATAATAATTTCCAGCCTTCCCTCCAAACTGCTGGGGGGAATCAGGTTTCAGAAAATAGAAGAGGCTACCCTCAGCCCCATCAGCACTTGAGGCTGAAGTTGACCATGTATCCCAAAGGCTGACACTCACTGCCTTGAGGGGAAACCTGGATTTCTCCTATCCATCAAGCCTTCTAAGAGAAAGGAAATCTTAGATAAGCTTATATACAAGCTGTGGACTACTTTCTGAGGATGAACATGATGGATTAGGTACCAGAGCACATAAAGTTATCTGCTTTCTTCTTTTCACAATCAGAAAGCATTGGTTCCAGTCCTAGCTGTACTGCCTTCTGAGCCCAGATGAATAACTAAAACAAATTGTGCTCCCTTGAGAAGTGGGGACAACCATGCTCTTCCTGTCTTAGCAACTCCTAGGATCAACAAGAGATGGACTCTGAAGGCAGTTGCAGATTAAAACCCTTCAATTGAAGGTCTATGACCCATCCAAGTCCTAAGCACCTTCAAGGTCAGATCAAGGTCAGCTCCTTTCTGAGGTCTTCCTGACTTAGTCTTCAGACCTTTTTTCAGCTGAGCTCTGCTCCTTTGGCCTTTCTTGCCCTCCTCTCCAGCTGTGTCATGCTTGCTTATATGGAAACCCCAGGTTTAATTTTCTAGATTCTGCCAAGCATGATGGCATACTCCTGGAAATCCCAGCCATCAGAAGGCTGAGGCAGAGAACTGATATAATGAGTTTCATATTAGCCTGGGCTACAGGATATGAGGGATTTCATAAAAGGGGTGGAGAAAGCTGGGCAGATAGCTCAGTTGGTACAGTACTTGCCTTGCAAGCATAAGGACCTGAGTTCAATTCCCAGCACACAGGTAAAACCCACTCATATAATTCTCTTGCTACAAGGTGGAAACAGATGATCCTTGGAGCTTTCTGGCCAGCTAGTCAAGCCTACTGTGGTAGTTTGAGTAGAAATGTTCCCCCGTAGGCTTCGGCACACTTGGTGTTACTGTTTGGGATTTGTAGGAGGTCCAGCTCTGCTGGTCTTGGCTTCCTGCTCCTGTCACCATGTTTACCCTTTGATGACATGTCCCTCTGCCATGATGAACTCCTAACCATCTGGAATCATAAGCCTAAATAAGCTCTTTCATACAAACGTTGCTTTTGATCATGGTGTTTTATAAAAGCAACAGAAAAGCAACTAATACAGTGAGGAACCCTGTCTCAAAACTGGGAGGTGGTTGGTACCTAAATAATAACCAAGCATATATGAATGTGTACACACACACACACACATGCACACACACGTTCATGAACACACACTGAACAACAATGGCTCTGGATTCTGCCCCTGACTGCATAACTCTGCTTCCTCCTCCTTTTCAGCCTGTTTCCTATGGTATAGCCATTAAGAGTCAGTCTGGTCAGAACCAGAACATTGGCCCCACCACTCTCTAGCAGCAAGGCCATAGATGAATAATTTGGCATCCTGGCCCTCAGTTTCCTACTATGTAAAATCAGCCTTCTCACAGAGCTGTGGGAGGATATGGTGAGATCACACCAGTCAAAGTCTCATTGAAGCAGCTGCCATGGTAACTACTACCATTCACAGTGTGAGATGAAGGGTCCCAGCTTCAGCCAGGCAGAGTCCCCCTCAGGAAAAAATACTAAAGTAGTGATATTCCTTCCCTTCTTTCCTGGACATATCAGGGCTGGGGGGGAAAAAGTGTCCACAAAGTATTTGACAAAGGTTTGCAGACTGTCCGCCAGGCTCCCCCCAGATCCCTCACCTGGTAATTCCCATCATCACCCCTTCATTCTCAGTTCATAAGTTCAAGGCAAAGAACTTGCTGTTCCTTGCAATTCCCGAGATGGCCTCCAAATGTTGTAGCCATAAATATATCTCAGACACAAATTAGAAGGCACCGGTGGGGCTTGGGGAAGAGATTTCAGCCAGATGGCAGGATGATGAATCACCCCGTGTTAATGAAGGTACAGCTTGGCTCAGTCTCCTGTGAAGTATACCTGGTCCTTACCTGGGAGCTGGGGAGACTAGTCTGGCAGAGATGCTAAATGCAAGCTGGGGACCCCAGGCACTTAGGGATAGGGTAGATAACAAGCAGGGGACTCCTTAGCCCTCTAGGGAGGTCTATCCTTGAAGTTAGTTTTTCTACAGCCTGAGACTCAGTGGAGACTCTCTCTCTTATCGGCAGGTCCTCCTGTGAATGTGAGTTGCAACATCTTCATCAACAGTTTCGGCTCCATCGCTGAGACAACTATGGTGAGTACATTACAGCAGCTGCTGTTTCCTCAGTAGGTGTCTCTGCCCTAGGAATGTTTCTCTTCTACATTGGATATGCCCCAAGAAGGCACAGAATTGGGTATTTTAGTTTCTGTCCAAGCCAATGTTTGGGATAAAGGTTTAACATCTGAAGAGGGTTTAGCTGCTAACGAGGTAAGCACAGTACAAACCTTCAGAATCACAAGAACAAAATTATAGATTGCAATGGGGTGAATTATGATTAAAGTCTATTATATCTGTGTGTAAGAAGATACCACAATGGGGACTGTATGTGGTGGTGCATGCCTTTAATCCCAGGCTCAGGAGGCAGAGGCAGGAGGATTTCCTTGAGTTTGAGACCAGCCTGGCCTACATACATAGTTCTAGGCATACAGACCTTGGCTCATACAAAATAACAAAGTCAAAAAAAGTTTTCAAAATTAAATGATAAGGCTGAGGAGGTGGATGGATCAGTCACTGAAGTCGTCTCTCAAGCCTGAAGACCTGACTTTAATCCCAGAATCCAAGTTGGGTTTTTTTTTTTTAAATGATGTTATGGTGACACAAGCTTCTAATCCCAGGACTGGCAAGGGAAAGAGTGGAGACATGCAGATCCCTGGGTATGGCCTGCCAGTCAGACTAGTCTAATGCAGAGCCACGATTTCCTGTGAGAGACTTTGTCTCAAGAACAAGGTAGATGGTTCCTATGGAACAGCATCAAGGTAGATTCCTGGCCTCCATACATCCATGTATACACACTCCCAACTCAATCTCTCTTTCTCTCTCTCTCTCTGTCTCTCTCTCTCTCTCTCTCTCTCTCTCTCTCTCTCTCTCTCTCACACACACACACACACACACACACACATACACATATATGTACATCTACCTGAATACGCATACATTATACACACACGCATATATATATCTACCTGAATATATACACACATACATGTGTGTGTGTGTGTGTCCCTATATGCCTGTGTGCCTGTGTGTGCCTGTGCCTGTATGAGTGGGTATCATCATGAGACCAGAGGAGAACATTGGGTATCTCTCCCTTCATTTCTCTCATCTCTCTCTGATATGTTGCCTTGAGATAGGGTCTCTAGCTTGCCATTTCAGGAGGCTCCTAGCATCTTCATGTCTCTGCCCATCTATGCTAAGGGTGCAAATGCTCATAGCCTTGCTTTGCTTTAAAAGGGAGTAGGGGGTCTTTCTGTGCATCTCTGGCTGGCCTGGAACTTCTTATGCTTGACCTTCCTATGTAGTTCAGGCCACAGTGACCTTGAACTCACAAAGATCTGCCCCACTTCTGCCTTTGAGTGCTAGGATTCAGGGTATACACAACCACACCAGCCTTTCATGCTCTGTTTTTTATGTAAATGCTGAGGATTCTGATTTAGGTTCTAATCTTTGCAAAGAACTCTTCCCTAGCCCTAAGAACTTAATCCTGACCAGATACTTGACAGCATAGGATACAGGACATTGTCAGCATTTGCCAGAGTTGGTCAATATTTTAATTCAGAATCATCAATGCCAAAATCTATCAATATAGTCAAAAATGGCAGATGTGTGTTTAAGACCTTTTTAGAAATTGTTGGAAATTCTGCTCTAATCCCAAACCAAAACACACTCAATTTTTTTATAAAACTCAAGTCAGCAGTCTAAACAGCAATTTGCAAAATCAAACATTCTGACAAAATGCAGTGTATAGATACCAATTTGGAAAATTCATGACCAGAAATGACAGTAGAAAATCCTGTCTGGTTTTTTTTTTTCAATTATACTCTGGCTGTCTGTGCGAGCAGAAAACTTCGTCTGTGGAACTAGGGGGAGATGGTGTAATTGGTACAGTGTCTACCTAGCATGCATGGATTTGATCCTCGAGACCACATAAATCGTGTGCTAGTTCATGCCTCTAACCCCAGCTCTCAGGAGATGACAGCAGAAGGATCAGAAGTTTAAGGTCGTCCTTGGCTACATAGCAACTTCGAAGACAGCTGAACACCTCAAGGAACCCCTCGTTGGCATCTCAGGTCTCTACTCTGGTACAGTTCCCACTGTCACACTTAGGGCTGTACCTGTCTGTTTGCTTGACCCTCCCCAGACCGTACTGGACATTTATGGCCAGCTGATGTCCTTCTGTCTTGTTTCCTGAAATGATCAAACCTCAACAGCCCACACAGCAATACAGCTGCAGAAACCCATTCTGTTAAATAAACAAGCCAAAGCAGATGCACGGTTTATCCAGTCCAGATGTTGCTTGGTCCTCAACATTTACAAACACTGGATCTGTCCCTCCCCTTGTAGACTTGTAATGTCACTGAGCTCCTCATAGGGCAGGAGACCAAAATCTGTTCTTTTGCAAATAAGCTTGTCTTGACAGGGTCAAGAATGTGTGGGTGTAGATGCAAAAGACTACTGAGCTGGGGAGAATCTGGCTCAGTGGGTAAAAGAGTTTGCCACACAGCATGAGGGCCAGAAATCAGTCCCCGGAACCCACTTTAAAAGCTGGGCATGTGAGCACACACTTGTAATCTCAGTGCAGAGGAAGTGGAGACAGGCAGATCCCTGGAACTCACTGGCAGTCAGCAGACCCTAGTCAGTGAGTTCTGGGCCATTTAAATTAAAAAAAAAAAAAAAAGGTAGAGTGCACCTAAAGAACAACCACTGAGGTTAATCCACAGCCTCTGTATGTGCATGTCAATCAATTGATTATTTTTTATTATTTTTAATTGATTGATTAATTCTTAATTAAACAGACTAGAAGCTTGACCACCTGCTTATAGAAATGAGCCAACTCTGTAAGAAAGGACATAATCACACACATACATACATTACATACATACCATACATACATACATACATACATACATACATACATACATAAATGGATGAATGAAAAGTGGAAACACAACCATAGCACACCAAGCTCTAAGTGGAAAACAGGAGAGGATGACTCTGGGGACAACCCACAGAAGGAGCCCACAGAAATGTCAGTGTTCAAAGCAGAATAAAGAACACATCTATGCGCTTCCCTTGGGATGACCTAGAGAACTCAGGCCCTGGCTATCAAGCAGGGGAGAGGCAGCCCCCTTCCATCCCACACACTTCAGAATACTATGATATTTCTGTCATTATCTTCCTAATTATCTGTATTTGCTTAATTTACTTTTCATATGACTCAGAAAGAAATCTAAAATCTCCTACCTAGAGAAAAACTTGTAGAAATTAACTGACAAGGTGACACATGCCTTTAAGTCCCAGCACTTGGGAAGCAGAGGCTGGGGGATCCCTGTGAGTTCAAGGTCACTTATGGAAAGTCACACAGAAAAACAATAGTGTTCCAAAAACCCAGGTGGTTTCTGTGCATAGCCAGTTTCCTCTCCCTGAACTTTCCTCTCCCCTAAGAGCAATGGTTCTCAGTTTTCTTAACGCTGCAACCCTTTAATACAGTTCCTTATGTTGGGGTGACCCCAACCATAAAATTATTTTTGTTACTACTTTATAACTATAACTTTGCTACTGTTATAAACCATGAAATAAATATCTGTGTTTTCTCATGATCTTAGGTGGCCCCGTACAAAGATCGTTCGACCCCTCAAAGGGGTCTTGACGAACAGGTTGAGAACTGCTGCCCTAGATCATATCAAACAAAGTTCCCCCATGCATATGTCCTCCCCAGCCTCTTGGGGTGCATTTGCAGAGCCAGCCTGGGCTCATGTTAACAGCAAGAGCAGCAGATTGTTCATGAAAACCCTTGAGATGCTGCTGTGTGCCAAGCAGTGTATAGAGCATTCTGCTTCTGTTATCTCAGTTAGACCCAAGAACCCAGTAGGCAAGATCACTCCAAGTAAGAAGTGCAGAAGCGGAGGATCAGGAACTTTAGAGTATTTACCTAAAGATACATATCTAGTAAGTAGCCAAGCTAGAATTTGAACTCAGATCTCCCTCATCTCAAAGCTCATGTTCACCTGTACACTTGAGATCATCCAAATTTGCTTGTCCAATTTCATTAAGGGTATCTAAACTGAGTGGGAGCTCACTGACTGACCAGGAATGAAATATTGCCTACCAGAAAGAGGATTTGTTACAGGATATTTGATCACACTGTGAACCCCTAGATTGTGCTGTTTACTGGAAACGCCTGTTTCTAGTTCTGGTGTGGCTCAGCCTTAGAACACACCTTTAATCCCAAACAATGAAGGCAAAGTTAGTTTGTAGAAGGAAGCAGCCATGTTTGAAGTTGGTGTCTAATTGAGTGGCATACAAAGTGACAAATCAGAGAAAGGCTTGACAGAATAGGATATGCCCAATCTCATGAGAAGAGAGAGGAAAGGTAAGTTATAAGAGGTAGCAGTGGAGAGAG